AGCTGAAAACGCCTGTTCTCCTCACTAAATTAAAAACCCTAAACCCTAATAAAGTCTCTATAGAAAAAGAAAATTCTCTCTAAACCCTAAACCCTAAACCCTAAACCCTAAACCACTCACACCTGGGGGGGGGGCCCCCAAACCCAGAGGGTACAGCTGTTGCTGAGGACCAGTGGTTAGGGCCCCCCGTTGTTACGTTATTTGTGTATAAAACTCTGAAATAAATTAAAATAAAGTAAAAATAAATAAATTAAAACATAAAATATTATAAAAAGAGAAAAAAAAAGAAAAAAGAAGCAGAGATGCAGCAGCAGCAACCTATAACAACCCCCCCAGCACCGGTGGTGTTGCTGGGGTGGTCTGGGGGCCCCCAGCAACAAATATATGCATTTCTTTCTCTTAAAAACATAAAAAATAAATTTATTATTTTTATTTTTATATATTTACGTTTATTTCGGTTGTTTCTAGCCGCAACAAACACACTCCTGCTGAGGCTGCCACCCCTGAGGTCACCGCCTAGGGTTTAGGGTTTAGGGTTTAGGGTTTAGGGTTTAGGGTTTATAGGAGAGGTTTTCGTTTGGCATCTCAACGACTACCCCCTTCTACAGTGTAAACCTCTAAACCCTAAACCCTAAACCCTAAACCCTAAACCCTAAACCCTCGCGTTGCAAACCCTCTTCAAGCCAAACCCTTTCTTCTTTGCCTGCCTGCAATAGGGGGGCCCCCAGAACCCTTGGGGGCCCCTAAACCCTATCCAGCAGCCCGGAGGGGCCCCCCGTTCTGTCAGTTCATTCAAACCCTGATGGGGGGGGCCCCCACCCCCCGCTTGGGGGCCCCCCCCTCCAGTACCCCCAGCGCACATGCAGCAAACAAAGATATCTCTGGGGGGCCCCTGGGGGCCCCCACTGCGAGTCTTCTATCGCAAGCATCGACAGCAGCAGGAGCAGCAGCAGCAACTGTAGCAGCAGAAGCACCAGCAGCAGCAGCAGCAGCAGCAGCAGCAGCAGCAGCAGCAGCAGCAGCTGATGATAAGGGGGGGGGTGCTGCTGCTAGCCCCCCTACCCTGGCTCCCCTCAATGGGGGCCCCCCTTCATACAGCTGCCTTGAAGACAGCTGCGCAGACAACATCTCGGGGGCCCCTTCTGCTGCTGCTGCTGCTGCTGCTGCTTCTTCTGCTTCTGCTGCTGCAGCAGCAGCAGCAGCAGCATCTACGGAAGCAGAAGTGCCCCCACGGTGTAAGCGATCCAGCACGTATGCAGACTGGAGCAGCAGCAGCAGCAACAGCAACAGCAGCAGCAGCAACACCAGCAGCAGCAGCAGCAGCAGCAGCAGCAGCAGCAGGAGACAGAAAGGAGACAGTGCAGCAGCAAGAGGCCGCCCCTGGTGTCGATACACCTGGACCTTCGCTCAGCACCTCCGCGACCCGCAGCTGCTGCAGCTGCTTGCTGCAGCTTTTGCTGCAGCAGCAAAACGTAGGGGGGCCCCTCGGTGCCCTCTGCCGCGGCAGGAGGCCCTTTCAAAGCAGCAGCAGCAGCAA